CATCCATCCATCCATCCATCCATCCATCCATCCACCTACCATCCACCCACCTTCTCTTTCCCACTGAGCCTACATGTATCACATGCCTAGGGTTTTCCATGAGAGCTGAGCTTCCTGGAGATGTCATTGTCCCCCAGTGTACACACCATGGCCCAGGCTCATGGCCATCGAGTTTTACCCTGGATCACAGAGTTCCCTTCATGCATGGTGGCACCTCCATCCCCCTGTGAGGGCGGCTTCCTACCTGCGCCCATGATGAGGCCTGGGGCGGTATCCTTGGTGTGCACAGTGCCCGACACGTAGGGGTTGTCTGCCCAGCGCAGGTGGAGGTGGAGGTGGCAGTCCGGCTGCAAGGAGAGAGGGAGCCATGGTCAGCATTTGGGGGCAGGAGGAGGGTCCCTAGGAAAGAAAGGTAGGACTGAGGCCGAGTCCCCCCGTGTGGCTTTGTGGGCAGGAAGGCAGGGCCAGGAGCGCCTCGGAGGAACGGGTTGGGGTGGGAAGAGGCCCTGGGCTGGCCGCAGGTGAAGGCCATCAGGCTGTGTGAGGTGACTGCTTGTGGAAAGGCCTTCTCCAAGGGAGGCTCTCCCAGTGTGGTCCCCTCCGGAACCTTTACTGGATGTGACCAGGGTAGCCTGGGCCTCAGGGAACAGCTGTGGGACAAGCCCTGGCACCCTGTGCCCTCTGTGAGAGGCAGAGAGGTAAGGTGGGCATGCGAGAGCCTGGTTTACTCGCAAGCATCTCCTGGACGGCAGCCCCAGCTGACGCCCTGGCTGGAGGGTCGGAAACGCAAGTTGTAGTAAGAATTTCAACAGCAACTCACCCCGATGGACGGCTGCCTCTGGGCCAGCCCTGGGCCAAGCACTTTACAAGGTGCATGCCACTGAACTCTCAACAGCTGCACTTTTGAAATGTACACTTTTTATTTATTATGAACTGAGTATCATCCCTGTTTCAAAAGTGGGGAAACTGAGGCAGAGAACATTTATGCAATCTGCCCAAGGGCAGTGGAGGGGCTGGGACTATAACCAAGTCCACTGCCCGCTCTCTGAGCCCCGAGGGTGTCTGTCCCTGCAGGGGACACACTTGCAGGCCAGAGCGGGCCAGCAGCCTCCCGGAATAGGAAGCACAAGCCGTTTCCTGTCCTGACCCTTGGCCGAGCCAGCCCTCCTCGGTCTCCTCCTGAGTTGCCTGAACCCCAGCGCCCCCAGGGTGGGAGTGGGAGTCCAGGAGACACGCAAGGATGTGTCCTGGGGACTGTGGCCTCCCTGAGCCTCCCCTAGGCCTCAGTGGCCCGGGGTCACATTCACGATAGACTACAAAACCGTGGGACACTGGACGAGGCCCAAGGCCTCCGCACAGCGGCTTCCGGGGCACCAGAGCCCCGCCAGCATCAGCAAGGGGCCGCCCACAGCGGCCGCAGGAGAGGGAGGCACAGGCTCCGGCCGCTGGTTCTCTCCTCCCACTCGGAGCCTGAGGCAGGGCCTGGGGTCTGGCTGGCTGAGCCACCTTGATAATGCAGGAGTTCTTGCCCACTCCCACCCAGGGAGCAGGAGGGCCGCCAGAGGCCCCCACATGCCCACAGATGTCAAAGGGCTTTCTGGGGTTACAGCTCTGGGGTCAGCCTTCTGGGGTCCCCAAACCAGGGAATTCTGCCAGCCTGGAGTATGGGCAGGGTGGGGTCATGGAATAGGCAGGGCTTTGAATCCTTGTACCCCTCTTCATGCTGTGTGACTCTGGGGAAAACGCTCAGTGTCTCTGAGTCTCATTTCTCCCCCTGTGAAATGGGGCAATAACCTGTACTTCACAGCACTCCCGGATTAACACAGCTTCTGGAGAGAAAGTCGGGGTCCAGCCCGCCCCTGGACAACGTGCTGCCTAACTGCTACTGATAAGAAAGGTAATCATTTCCTTGGCCCTCTCTCGTTTTTCTGAAAAAAATCAGTTTAGAAATACCACAGAACTAAGCACCCTGAGGTCCAAATTTGAACGTAGGAGGTGCTGCTAGTTTTATGGGAAAATCTGGGCCTCGGTTTCCTCATTCGTGCAATGGAGACGGTGGTGCCTGTCCCCCCGCACCTCCCAGGGGAGCGGGGAGAAAAGCGAGGACAATCCCCATGTCATTACTACGTTATGCTGTCTACTGAAATCTATCCGAGAGATGTCTTCTCTCCTCACGTTATGTTTTTATGGTACTTTCTTCTGGTCCCTGAACTGAGTGCATTTCAGATAGAGTACCCTAAGTTAAAAATAAAACTGTTTCATACATTGGACGTTGATTGGGATCAGACGGCATCAGGCCCCAGGTGGAGGCCCCAAGTGCCTTTATTTGTCTGCATAAGGTGGGGGGTGCGGTGTGTTGGGGTGGGTAACAGTTGTCAGTTGCACCCCTCATGAGAATTGTCCAGAGTAGAGAACTCCACAGTCAGCAGACGAGCCATTGCCAGGACCTGGGGTGGGATGGGGAGGTGGCAGCGTGAAGGACAAAGGGGACAGGGCTTCTTCCCATGGTGATGAAATGCTCTAAATGGACTGTGGTGGTGTTTGCACAACTCTGTGAACGTACTAAAATACGACCGAATTGTACTTCGGTCGTATTTTAAATGGGTGAATCGTATGCTATATGAGTGATATCTCAATAAAACTGTAAAAAGCAAAAATGAAATAGAAGGTGGCAAATTCAGCTGACACGAGGCCCCGCCGCCTGTGGAGGGCACTCTGCAGGGGACATGGTGGGCTGGAGACCCGCCCAGGGCAGACTGAAGACGACAGCCCCTGAGCGGGAACCTGGTCACAGCCACGGTAAGAGAGCCCTCCTCAGACCTGTCCAGGACCACCTTGATTGAGTGGGACAAACCCACCCCACTGACACTGTGGGATCATCACACGTTACTCCTGGGTTTCCCCTGATCGAAAAGCAGTCAATACCTGCTTAGTATCTGAGTTACTATCTCTGGGGAGACCATTTAGTTCTCCCCACCCCTGCCTGCCCGGTGACCACGCAGTAATGGGGAGGGGCTGTCCAGGGCAGGGGGTCCTGTGACCTCAGCGGTAGGGCCAGCTGCCAGCTGCAGAAGGGAGTTCTAAGTCAGGAGGAAAAGCAGCCTCACCGGGAACATGGCACTTGGGCCCCCCACTGGCAGGCTCCCGGCAGAGAAGGGTGGTAGCACAGCCCTGCTTTGGCGGACCAGGTGGGACCTGGGGTGGCCCGAGCTCCAATCTGCCTTTCCCCTGCCCCCTGATGGCCTGTGCACAGAACGTCACATGTCAGAGGCACTGCCTCACAGAACCTGGCTGTCCCCTCCCCAGTCCACTGGGCCGGGCCCCGCTGCCGGGCACTTGTTTGGGCCTCAGGTCAAACACTCCTCAGGGTTTCCTGCAGTCAGCTGTGGCCCACAGGGCATTAACAGATGCAGGCAGAGCTGCGGTCCCCTTTGGGGCAGCAGAGAGCCACACAAGTGTCTTCCATTTGGTCCTGGAGCTGCAGGGGGTGTCTGGCAGCTTGAGAAGAGGCCCCACAAACACCCTCCCAGCCATCAGGGCAGAGCTGATGAAGAGAACGGCCGGCCAGGCAGACCTGGAGTGACACCGGCAGATGAGACGGGGTGGCATGCATGCAGAGCTAGGGCTCCCTAAATATGCTCTGTCAGAGATAGGGGGGTCCCCTGGGACACCGAGGACCAGGGTGGGAGGCCCCAAAGGTTCGCTGGTGCCATGGGAGCCCACACTGTCCCAAGCCCCCCCTCTCAGCCACTCTGCATGGAGGAGCGACTGGTGCTCTAAATAAGTGTCCCCCAGATCATGAGAGAGGCGGATGGACGGAGGCCACACTACCTGCCTTGTGAGTGAGGAGACCCACCCACTCGACACCCCACTTCCTGAATTGGGGAAGTTACTGTGAGCTGCAAAACGAATGGGTTTTCATTCTGAAGTAAGATGTAAACAGATTCAAAACCATCCTCCGAGTACTATTTATCATCCTAAACCAGATCTGACCTCACCACTCATCTATTTAAAAAGTCCCCTCATTTCTGAATTACCGGAAGGAGATCTTCCAGGCAGACAGCTCGTCCGACAGCCCAGGGAAATATTCGTGACCCAGAGTTAAGTGAAAATGGAACACGGGGAGATCACATGTGTGTCAGGATCCCAATTACGACCTTTTAACGTGCAGATGACCTAAAAGACGGTAACGAAAAATGCCTGAGTACGGCTATTTCTGGGTGATGCACTTACCGCCGTACCTCACCTCTTTTTTTTTTTTTTTTTAGCTGAGCCATCCTGCCACCTGTTGGCAGCTCAGCGGCTGCTCATCTCGGGCTGGGACTCGAACAGCTGTTGCTCAGAGCTCACACTCTTGAGCGAGCTCTTAACCAACTGAGCCACTCGGCCGGCCCTTCACCTCTCTTTTTATACATTTCTGTTTTTTTTCCAAATATTCTGCAACCCCTTTTATGATGAGAACTAGACCCTCAAGTGTAGTCTGCCTCGCTCATCGCGGGGGTGCGTGACAGGGTGGAGGACACAAGAGAAACCCAGGTGAGTGGGCACGCTGGTCCCCCTTGCACCCCCCACGGCCCCTGCAGCCTGGACCACACACAGAGGGTAACAGGACTCTGAGTCAGGGCTTTAATTGCTGTCCTTTGTGCCCAGCTGGGTTCCCAGCACCTGGCTCTCTTTGGCCTGCTTGCTGGGTTCTCACCTGCCTGCCTGGGGCCACGCTCCACTTGGCTCCTACCTGCCTAGATTATTGTAAGGCTGGGGCATAAATCTCACAAATGTTATCTCCTCACTGAGCGACATCACTGCAGACAAGAATCTATTCTTAGCAGAAACTTGCTCTGACAGATTAATATGGCTTAACTTTGCCGAGGACGATACAAAAATTAGCCCTTTCACAGCCGTTCCATTTTCGAAAGGGATTTTACAAGCAGCAGGTAATTAATTCTCTCTGTAGGTCGACAGGTGTTGTTATCCTTGGTTAGCAGCAGAAGGGGGGCTTATGCAGAGGCAGAGTGGCAGGCCCAAGTTGGTGAGGGTCAGCTCAGGCCTCAGGCTCGGGGCGCCCCTGCCAGGGGGAAGTTGCACAGAGCCCTCCTCCCCGGCATCAGCGTGCCCTGATTCTGCCTGGGTCATTTCCACATGATGCCCCGGGGCCCTGGAAAACGAGCGCTGTTATTCTATGAACAGAGAGGCAGGGTGGTGGGTGGGTTCAGGCATCCCCACAGCATATCCCTGCCTGCAAGAGGCTGCAGAGCCAGAGAGAAACAGACAGAGACGCAAGTATGCACAGTGAGGGCTTCTCAGTGGAGGGGATATCTGGGCAGGGTTTTCAGGTATCAGTAGGAGTTTGCTGGAAAAAGGAGGAAAGGGCATTCCAGGCTACGGGACAGCATGGGAAGGCGGCAGTCCAAAAGGAAGGGACTGGCTTGGCCTGGCCTGCTTGCTGTGTGCCAGTGTCCGTGCTGGGCATGGCTGGGCATGTTTCATCGCGTCCCCAGTGCCACAGGGGGCTTTTACCATCTTCCTTCCTTTTTCAACAAAGCCTCAGCGGTGCCTATTGCCTTGGCCAAGGTGATAGGTCAGTAGGGATCTGAGACTGCAGCTCTGTGTGGCTCCAACTCTGGCCCCTGCCCCTGCTCTGAGTGGCCCCCGCTGGGGAAGGGTCAGGGGTGCCCGTGGTGGGGAGCTCCTTGTGGGGCAAGGACACAGGGTCCCACTGGAGGCCAAGCAGTCCGCCTCAGGCCAGACACGTGTGGTCCATTCAGCCTCTTCCTCCCTCACAGCTGCCGCTCCCTGACGGCCGCCTTAGGCCAGGGCCCCTTAGGGCTCTGCCTCTCCGTCCTCACAGCACGGGCCTGCACGCCAGCCTGGTCTCCTGGTGCCCATGCCAGGGCCCCACCCCCAAGGCAGCCAACACTCCTGTTCAAGAAGAGAAGGGCGCCCCTGGGATAGCAGGGAGGGCCGGAGCTTGTGATCTGGGCTGTAGCCTGGTCCCCCACTTCCACGGGCTGAGTGCACTTCCTGGTCCTGATGCTGACAGTAGCATTTAAGCGATGAGATGCAGCAGGCTGGCCTGGTGCTGGCCAGTGTCTGCTCACCTTCCTGCACCTCTGCTATTGCTCTGTAAGCGTGCCTGGGCTGGTCCTGGGCAGGGGGATGCCAGACACAAGGAGCAGATCCCCCAAACCAGCCCCCCACCCCCAGACATGTGAGCAGAGTGCCCAGCCAAGCCCAGAGAACAGTGACTGTTGTTGGGGGTGGTTTGTTACCCAGCAATGTTGTGGCAAGAGCTAACTGATACACGTCCCTCTCCGACCTCCAGCTAGCGCTCCTGCAAAGCAAGGGGCTGCCCGTGACCCTCTCTGCCACGCCCAGGGAGATCGGGGGTTCCTCTCTCTCAGATGGCCCTGCCCAGCTGTCACTGTCTCTAACCTTCTGGGCCCCTTCAGCGACGTCTGCAGCCACCCCACCGTGTGTGACGTGAGCAGAGGTACTTACAGGCTTACAGTTGGTGGGTTTCCCATTCATGTCCACGCTGGGCGGCCTCAGGTAATCCCAGTCGCGGCCCTTGTTGTAGGTTATAAGGGTCACCACCTTCCCATCGACTTTCTGGTTCGCCAGGAAGACTCCCTTCACCCCTCGGACCTGGGGCAAATACAAGAAGGATCGTAAACACCTGTCCGGAGCCCTCTGGTGGCCGGGCATTCACCGTGCCAGCCCCCTGCCCCTGGCCCGTCTCACCCTGACGATAGCCCCAGCGCTGAGGCTGACTCTACACTCTAGAGGTGAGCGGGGTTTAGGGGGTCAAAGATCCAAGACCGACCTAAGCCTCGGCCGGAAGCCGGTTCTGTCTGACCCCAAAGCCTAGGTGCTTTTCATCACACAGCTGTCCTCCCAGGTCCGCGATGCTGGCTGTCAGGTGGCGAGCGTCACAGTGACACCGTCTTTGGGCAGAGCTCCTGGTTCAGGGCCCCTAACCCCTCGCCTCCCTTCCCATGGACCCACAGGGCCCTGACCAATGGACCTGCCTCTGGGATTTCCTCTGAGACCCCTCAGCTCAGCCCCAGACAAAAATGCCAAGTGGCAAAGACAGGGCCCCGCTTTCCCCGCCGGCCCTGCGCGGGGCTCAGTTTGCCTTCTTCCCTCAAGGTTAGCCTTGTCCCGTTCTCAGGGCTTCCTGAGGGGCCCATGGCAGTGACCCCAACACACCCCACACTAGTGATCACACAGCAGCTCCCTACAGTTCAACTTGGTTCCCCAGGGACGACCTTTCCCTGCAAGTCCCATAGGCATGGCGGCCTCAGACCCGCCAGCGTGGCCTGAGTTCCTGGGAGCCTCCTGTTTGCCAAAGCGGTGTTTGCTCCTCTCTGTGTGACATGTCACTGCTTCCCACAAGGAACCTGAGAAACCGGAGGCTCAGACAGTCGCAGAATGCGCCCCAGGTCCATCGCCAAGGATGCACTTCGGGCTGTGACAGTAACACGGTTACGAAGGGACTTTTCTGTGGTCAGTGCAAGGGCGCTTCCTCTGGGCTGGCCCATTCATCCCCCAGAACTCCAGGAGGTCCGTGCTCTTCCTGTCCTGGAATCCCCAGGAGAGAATCTGTTTCCTGGCTTCTCCAGCTCTCAGAGGCGCCCACATTCCTGGCTGGTGGCCAGTGGTGCTGTGTCTCTCTGCCTCCTCCACCAGCCCCCTTCTACTTTTAAGTACTCTGTGGTTACAGCGCGCCAGGGTAATCTGGGTAAACTTCCTATCTGCTGGTAAGCAGCCCCAAATCCCTTCTGCGATGTGTCCTCTGCAAGGAGGCTGCTTGGGGGGTCGGGGGACACTGGCTCTCATCTCCACAGACAAGGTCTGCGGCCCTCCTGGGTGACAGCCCCAGGGGCGTGGGGACCACAGCCCCTTCTCTCACACACGGTGACCGCACTCTGTCTCCTGCTTACCTGGGGCATCGCCTGGGGCGGGCATCTGGGTCCAGATGTCTCCCCGACGTCCTAAGGGCAGATAGGACGCTGCCTCGCCCCGAGGGCGTGCTTTATTCGGTAATGTTATTTTACATCTCGACTGGTCTCAGTGAAAATGCTCCTCAGTAAGTAACATGGGTCTCTCACTTCCCAGAGGGACGCAGACATGGGCTGTGCCCCCTCGGGCTGGGTCTCATCAGCCCAGTATCAGCAACCAGTATTGCTGGGGCCACTCAACTGCCTTCTTCATGGCTGGGTTGGTTTCTTGGGCGGCAAGAAACAATTGCCACACACTTGGTGACTAAAACAACAGAAATTTGTTCTCTCATAATTCTGGAAGCCAGAAGTCTGACATTTAGGTGGTGGCTGGGCTGTTCTCCCTCCAGAGGCTCCGGGGGAGGGTGCTTCCTGTCCCTTCCAGCTGCTGGTGGCCTCAGACGCTCCTGGGCTGTGGCCGCATCACCCCAATCCCTGCCTCCGTCTCCACGTGGCCTCGCCCTGCGTGTCTGTGTCTCCTCTTCGGATCCTTACAGGACCCTTGTCTTTCCCAGGCCCTCCCCCAGATCATTCAGCATGAGCTCATCTCAGGACCCCCCACTTGACGCCAACTGCAAAGACCCTTTTTCCAAATGAGGCCATAGCATCGGCCCTGGGGGATTGAGGTGGACATAGCTTTTGGGGTCTCCATTCAGCCCACTACAGTGGCTGTCTCCTGACTGTGGCCAGGGCTCCCCAGGGGCAGGGACGAGACTGGGGTCCCCCTGAGCCCCTATTCCTATCTGAAGCTCCAGCACAAAGAGGCACCCAGAAAATGTTTGTTGTCTTGCCTGGGACCCGGGGTGTGTCCTGAACAAGTGATACCTCATGGGCACTTGAAAGCACCGGCCTGCCAAGTATTTGCCCGTGACGTCTGGGACAAAACGTTTTTCCTGGATGAAGGATAACCATGATGACAATGGAACTGGAACACGTGCAGGGCCCCAGAGCTAGATTCTGGGCCAGGCCCTCCCCATGTATATATCTCCAGTCCCTGGAAAAGGCAACTGCTGTGACAATAGCAAGGGTCACTGACCACCGACTTCAGTACCAGCAGCTGCTCCACGTGTTTAACAGGAACAATGCCCTTGACTTCTATGGGGAAGGGACCCTATGAGGAAGGTGCTCCCATCATCCCTGTTTCACACTGGCGAAACCAAGGTACAGAGAGGTTAAGTAACCTTCCTAAGGTCACACAGCAAATACATATTCAAATTGGGATTTGACCTCAGACAGTCGGGCACCAGAGTTGTGCTTGTAACCACTACCTGTGACCACTGGTAGGAGGATTTCAGAGAGGCAAAGTCACTTTTGAGGGTGTCCAGCGGGTGGCAGAGGGCGTCACCATTGGACCTGGCCACTGAGAACCTCCTTCGGTTCCTCATGTCCTCTCACTTCGTGGTCTTTGTGCATGGACTGCTGTTCCTGGTTCTTTGGCTGGTTAACTTCTGATGGGTTTCAACTCAGCCTGCACCTCCTCCTCCAGGAAGCACTCCCTGACTCCCACTGCAGTCCGGCCAGTCGCCCCTCACTCTGTCCCCCAGGCTCTGGAACACGGTGTCAGAACCGCCTGGGAGCTGGTCTTCCTGCAGAGGCCGGCAGCTCTGTGACAGGCGGCCAGTTTCCCCTGTGTCCCCAGGGCAGGACCCAGAGCCTGGTGTCTGGTACAAACATTACAGACGCCTGTGGACAGAACGGGCCATGGCCTGTCCCCTTGTCTGCAGTGCCCATGTCCTGGCCACCCTTCCCTGCCACCATCTCTTGCCTCTTTTCTCCCAGCCGGCTCTGTGGTGCAGCAGTGGTGACCACACCTGTCAGAGCCAGGCCTGTGACACACCCAGCGGCCTCCTTGGAGGCCCCACCAGACACGGCCCTGAGGGAATGGCTGCCCGGGCGGGACGAGGCCATCTGTATGGAGCTTTCGGCCACCAGCTGTGAGCCTGGGCCCGGGCTCAGCTGCTCTGTCCAGCTCGGGAAGCGAACCCTGACAGATGGCTGTCATCGCAAACAAACGATGACATTCACTATTTGGGGAAATGTTTCCTGGCTGACAGCTGAGAGATGAATGCTGCAGCCACGCCTCCTATCTGGGAGGCCCCTCCCATGCTGATAAATCCCACTGTCTGCCCATAGCTTTCCTGGCCACCCACGGGACCGGTCCCCAGCCCCGGAGGGAGGGCAGGCCACTGCGGACCCTCAAGGAACCTGGCACGCCCACCATCCAGCGCTTATAACCAAACATGCTGCATTCATTAGGCCACTGCAGGTATCCCCACTGGCCGGGGGCTCCCCAAGGACAGGGCACAAGGGAGGAGCTTGGGGTGAATGACTGAGCGAGGGGCGGTGCTGGCCATGGGATGGGCCGAGCCCGGGGAGACACACAGTGGGCTGGTTCTGGTTTTCTCGATGCTCCTGGGTCTGTCTGGGCAGGTCGTTTGCCTTTCTGAGCCTCAGGCCCCTTACCTGCAAATGGGCTATGGGACCACCCGCTCCCTGGTTCTGGTGTGGACAGGAACAGAGGAGGTGACCGTGAGAGGCCAGGCCCAGGCTGGGCCGGCTGTAGGTCGACGTTTATGGAACCCGAGGACAGAGGGAAGCCTGCCACAGGTTTTCTCACAGGCGGAGAGAGCCAGCCTGGGAGCCAGGAGCCCCGGGGTGTCACATGATGTCACGAGAGCCAGAGCCTGAGCCAGCAGAGGCTTAAATGGGAGACAGACAGGGCGGGTCCCCAGGGAGGGTGCTGGGAGGAGAGACAGGAGCTTAGGGGGACAAGGGAGAGACAGAGAGACAGATACCAGGTACTCAGACAGAGAGGGAGGCAAGTGAAGGCCGGGGGCAGGGGACAGACGGAGAGGGACAGAAAAAGCAGGAGGCAGGGACCTTGGAGGGCCTGAGACGGAGCGGGGGTCCCAGCCTCTGTCCCTCAGGCCTGGCTTTGTGCAGGGCGCGAGGGCAGGAGTGGCTTTACACATGATCACTTGAGGTCCAGCTGATGGTAAGGGCCACTAACAATGAACCCC